AAACATGGCACATCCTGTCCAGGTCACAACAGCTGGTCGCTCATTATCCATAATGTCTTCCTTCTAAGAGCCTCTTCAGATGTTGTATTTACTGCTCACAGAAGCCTGAAAGGCAAAAACACTCTGTGGGAACTACCCCCAGGCAAACTCCCTCTGTTTGCCTGTCCTCTGTTCGCCACTCACTCGGTTCGCAACTATAAAATTAAAATAAATAAAAATAAAATAAATAGCTTTTTTTCAACAAGATTACCATCTCACATTGTTCTCTGTGGACGGAGACCACAGGCTGCCCTCAGTTCAGAGGGTTGTGTTTCTCTAAAGCCTGTGCAGAAGAAAGTTTGTGTTGCAGGTAGCTAAGATGGTCACTGCCTTCCATTTTTCTGAAAAGGAGTGAATCCAACTTGCACCTCTGCAGAGTAAATGGATATTAGAAATGTGGAAGACGGGATTATGGGAGATCATAGTGAGGGCATATGAGTGGGACAGAAGACGAGATAAATTAGGGAGAAAGACAGGCAGGGGTGGGCAGGGAGGATCAGGTGAAAGGGAGACAGTTATAGGGACAAAAAGAAAAGGAGTACTTGTGGCACCTTAGAGACTAACAAATTTATTTGGGCATAAGCTTTCGTGAGCTTCAGCTCACTTCATCGGATGCATTCAGTGGAAAATACAGTGGGGAGATTTATATACATAGAGAACATGAAACAATGGGTGTTACCATACACACTGTAACGAGAGTGATCACTTAAGGTGAGCTATTACCAGCAGGAGAGCGGCGGGGCGGGGCGGGGGGGAGAGAAACCTTTTGTAGTGATAATCAAGGTGAGCCATTTCCAGCAGTTGACAACTTGGCCCACCTTGATTATCACTACAAAAGGTCCATCCCCCCCCCGCGCTCTCCTGCTGGTAATAGCTCACCTTAAGTGATCACTCTCAATACAATGTGTATGGTAACACCCATTGTTTCATGTTCTCTATGTATATAAATCTTCCCACTGTATTTTCCACTGAATGCATCCGATGAAGTGAGCTGTAGCTCACGAAAGCTCATGCCCAAATAAATTTGTTAGTCTCTAAGGTGCCACAAGTACTCCTTTTCTTTTTGCGAATACAGACTAACAAGGCTGTTACTCTGAAACCAGTTATAGGGACAAGGGATGTAGAAGGACAGAATTAGAAGACAGTAAATTGAATCCCCCTTCCAGGAGCCAACAGGGAGGATTGCGTTAATGCATTTAAACTTGGCTTTTGAGCCTGAAATGATCCCACACTCACTGGGGGTGGGTACTTCTCGCTACAGGCTATGTCTTCTCTGCAGAGTTTTTACTTCGGTTTTGCACTGATCCCTCCCCTCCTGTCCACACACCAAACCCTCTCAGCCAAGTTTGGTGGTGTTTTCAACCTGGGTTTGCTGGCTCATCTAAGGCTATCAGTTAAAGCCCAAGTGAGGCAACATGCCCACCTTGCAGAGAGGATGCAGGCTAAATCAGCTGAGAGCTGATAGTCATCCACTGCCTTCCCTTAATTCCCGTCATGTGCCCAGAAAAACAGACAAGGCTCCCAGAATTCACTGGGAAAGTATCATAGGGCGGCTGAGCTTGCAGCATTGCAAAGTAACATGGGATACGCCTCCCAAATATCCTAGCAATATACAAGTGTGTACACAGCACCAGTGAGGACAAGTAACTCAGTTGTGGCTTTGTAATGTGGGTACTTAGGACCAGGTGCTGACCACCAGCGTTAACACTCCAGTGAAGACATAGTCCTCAACTCAAAAAGAGGAAACAAACAAAAAATGTGATTTAAAATAAATAAATATACATCTACCAGTTTAATCCAGTCTCATGAGTTTTGGGGGATCTGTTTCATGGTGTTAAATGCTTGCATTTGGCAATACTTGGGGTTGCCCTTCCTCATATCCCCAACCACAATCCACACTTGCCACTTTGGCCTCGCCAGATCCTGTTCATTTTTAAGCAGTTGCTACACACATAATATACCTCACAAAACCAAAAAAGCAAGGAAATGAAAAGATAGCCAACCTCTACTCCTCCGCCCGAAGCTCACATCTTAGTACCACCACAGCTAAAATATGCTACCGATCACAAGCCACAATCTTAACTCTGTCTCCTTAGGGACACCAACCTTCCAGTACCCCCTATACAAAACACCCACAATTAATAATATTTGGAACTGATACTTGAGGGAAAGGAGCATGCTGGAGGGAAAGTTGAGGAGGGGAGTACCTGGCTGAGGTGGGAGGGGGTAATTTGGAAAAGGTGGCACTGAACAGGTGGCATTCCTAGTGGGGCAGAGTTAAGGTTGTGGTGTTACAATAGTTACACTAGTGGTCCAATTCTAAAGGATCTTTTTCATTTGCTCATAACTTTAGTTTTTACTCTTTGGGTTGAAATTTTGCACATTTGTTCTTAGTTCTAGTGTGAGGAATTGGGAATAGGTTGGGTTGAATTTTTGTTTTGAAGGCCTGAGCAAAAATGGTTCAACTGTTTTCAGTACTGAAGAAGTACTGTACACTTTTGCCATTATGAAACATTTCACCCTTCTCCCCCTTTTTTTTAGGTATAGTACTTCAGCCTGCGCTGGTAAAAAAAAAAAAAAAAAAAAAAATAGGAACTTGAATGGGACATTAGGTCATGATGTGCCTTTTAGAGGTCTGAGAAAAGTCAGTTTTGCTTTGCTTTAGTTGTAAGAGTTAACAAAGTTTATTTTGTGTATGTGCACATCCTTTCTATTATTTATTATTGGCACTGCACATACACATGTATGTAAACAGATTAGAAAATTTTCAGGCAGTACATGATCTCTGAACAATTGCTTATGCACAGGAATATGTAAGAAAGTCAGGTGGAGATATTTTATTTTAAATGTGTATGTACATATGGAATACGATTTGTGAGGGTACTTGTGGAATGAGGCAGGGATGTGAAGAAGCCCAGCATTTTTCCACACAGTGGAACAGTCTTCAGTATGTTGCCCCCTAAGGTGACCCCTTTTCACATACAAAAATCTCTAGTTTGAGTTAAGTGATGCTTTAAACTTGAGCTAGCTGGCCTCTCAGAAGGTATGGGTTAAAGCTGAGAGCTGCTGACAATTGCTCTGTTCTGCTAATCTAAACACTCTGTGCAATTTGAGTGCTGTTTTATAGTGTGACCACTCTCAGTTGAGCTAGATTAACTCAAGAGGAGTTATCTCAAGTGTTGATAAGTTGAGCTAACACTACAGTGAAGACAGGACTAATATATGAAGATGAATATGGAAAGAGGCATTCGTCATGCTGTATAATAAGTGAAAATGCTTATGAAGGGATGCAGGATTATATGGACTCACAGTACATGTTAGATTGAGTGTAGCAAAACAGGGAAAGGGTTATTTGTGTGCAGTAAATAAGGCAAGGCACCACCTATTCATATAGTGAGGCTATATATATATAAAATAAAAAACTGAACAGCTGCTTTATTCACTGCGTAATATCTCATCTGCATACTAAAGGAGGCAATGGCCCTGTCAAAAATAATATATTATCATATAATTAAACTGTGTATCATAATACATACATGCAAATGGTTACGGTTCAGCAAACAACTTTAATTTTTGCATTTCCAAACTTGAGAGCTTCATTTTGCAATCCAGGCATTCCTTTAGCATTGTTTTTTGCATTTGCAGTGGTGTTAGATAAAAATATGAAAGGTTTGGGGGGGGGGAGCACTGGAAATTTCCAGCTGGAAATGGCCCACCTGTTGATCACTTTAGATAAGCTATTACCAGCAGGACAGTGGGGTGGGAGGAGGTATTGTTTCATATTCTCTGTGTGTATATAAAGTCTGCTGCAGTTTCCACGGTATGCATCTGATGAAGTGAGCTGTAGCTCACGAAAGCTCATGCTCAAATAAATTGGTTAGTCTCTAAGGTGCCACAAGTACTCCTTTTCTTTTTGCAATCTCTAAGAAGATGTCTTTCCTGAATCAGAGGAAAATGCCCCTAATACTCAAACATTGTTTTATTCTGACACAAATGAGTTTGTAAGCTTCCTAAACCTCTAAAAACATTACAGAAAATATTTGAATTCCAGCTTTTAGTTTGTTATAGAATTGCAGTCTAACCTTGATTATCTGAAACTCTCTGTTGTCATCTCAGTCATCCATTCATTACAATGAAGGTTTCCTCAATTTTTTGAACTTATTCACAGTTGCTGTGACATTCAAATAATTGCAGTTCTACTACATAAGAGATAGGTATTTTATTAATAATTATAATTATTGTATTAGCTGGGCCCCATATTCTCCAGTAAACTCTTTTATTTTTTGATAGCAGTGGTGCAGTGGCATTTTTGCAGTCACATATAAATGGACACATGATCCAAAATGAGTTTTGGATAAAAGTCCGTGTAAAAAAGAAAACAAAAATCTCATAATACTGCAACACTACCCCCAGGAGGGAAAATAGCATCTACTCTCTTTTCCTCCACTCCCATTAAGTTAAGGTCCATATGGTCTCTTTTTTCCTCTCCTTGCCAAGAGACATAACTTCTATGCAGGATTTTATTTTTGCCCCTACCTGCCTCTGCTTGATTAGTTGGGGAATGCTCCTGTTATTGGCATTCCATTCACGCTGCCTGAGCCTGGGCATGCTTGTCTAGCGGAAACTATCAACAGGGTCCTTTCACACCAACAGGAAAGGAAGCAGAATGTTAATGTCCCAACTATGATATCCCAAATGTTAGTTATCCCCGAATGTTAGTTATCAATTCTTATTTTGTCACACGACTACGCTGGAATCAGTGCTGTAAAAATTTTACTGCTTGGGTTCAGAGATCACACATGTTTTTAATTTATGCTATGAAACAGATCCATAGCTCCCTGTGTTAGCGATAATTCTATGCTTATTTTTTATTCTTCACCAGAAATAAAAATTGTTAACACTGGATAACTCATTTGCTGTCCATTTGATCACGTTTGCTCTCATTGTGTTTTAATTTACAGTTCCCGCTGAAAATGTTGCAACAATTGCAGATTGTGCCAGTGTGATTGAGGGTGTAAGTCGAAGTCGCAATGCCTTGTTGAATGGAGATACAAAGAATTATGACTGGGATTCCGGGTACACGTGTCATCAGCTAGGCAGTGGTGCTATTGTGGTACAGCTAGCACAGCCATTCATGATTGGATCAATACGGTAAGGGGATTCTTCTTCTCTAAAGACCCAGTAGCAATGAGGCTTCAGCAGCCTTACAGATAAAATTGCTTTCTTGTAAATCAACTCTGAAATGTGAAACATTTCCTGGTCAGTAATTGTATCATTGGGGATATTTTAGTATTTATCTATTTGTTTTTTATTTTTGTTCCAATGTAACATAGTATGTTTAATTTCTCAACATCTATCAAATTCTATGTCAAAATACAGTAATATAATATCAGAACAAAAGTAAAAGTTACATGATGTCAAATGAAAAGGAGTACTTGTGGCACCTTAGAGACTAACCAATTTATTTGAGCATAAGCTTTCGTGAGCTGTAGCTCACGAAAGCTTATGCTCAAATAAATTGATTAGTCTCTAAGGTGCCACAAGTACTCCTTTTCTTTTTGCGAATACAGACTAACACGGCTGTTACTCTGAAACCTGTCAATGATGTCAAATGACTGCCTTGTACATCTGTATGGATAGCACCAAAATACAAAAGTAAGAATTAAAAAAAGTTATAAAAAGCAGAAAAAAAGTCTACTGTATTAAAACAGAAAATTAGTTTCAGCATTAACTATGGAGCAGCTAGATGCTCTGTAATACACATGTTATTAGATAAAAATGATAGCAGCAACTGAAGAAAGGAGAGAGTCATCTTAAAATTATATGCCCACTCTTAGGGTATGTCTTCACTGCAGTTAGGATGGATTCTGACACCCTAGGCTAGAGAGCCTGAACTCAAGCTCAAGCCACAATGTCCATACTGCTATTTTTAGCACGCTAGCTCAAGCCCCACTAGCCTGACTCTGTCTACACAGGGTGGGAGGCTTACTATTACCTACAGTGTAGATTTACCCGATTGAGCTGATTGTTTTCACACGAAGGGATTGTCTACATGTGAAAGTTAATTTGGATTAAGATAGGGTGGGAATTTAAAGTGCAATAGGTTTCAGAGTCACAGCCGTGTTAGTCTGTATTCGCACTTTAGATAAGCTATTACCAGCAGGAGAGTGGGATGGGAGGAGGTATTTTTTCATGCTTTATGTGTATATAAAAAGATCTTCTACACTTTCCACAGTATGCATCCGATGAAGTGAGCTGTAGCTCACGAAAGCTTATGCTCAGATAAATTGGTTAGTCTCTAAGGTGCCACAAGTACTCCTTTTCTTTTTGTAGATCAGCTATTGCTAACCTCTGAGGGTGCCAAGATTTCCAGCTTCATCCACAAGCACTGTAAATTTAGAAACCTCTCTTATAAAATGTCATATAAGACACAAATGCAGTTCCTGACAACATACAAGAACACTACCTGATTTTCTTAGGGCTTGTCTATATATTGAATTATTCCAAATAGCTATTCTGGGATAGTTCTATGTGCATACACTCTTATTCCAGAATAAGAGAGCCTTGGTCTAGTTCAGCATAATCCACTTTGAAAGTAGAATAAGAAACAGGAACAAGGCACTCTTTTTCTAGAGTTTAGAAAAAGTTTCTAAATCTAGTTTCTAGCAATACATGCCTGACTTTGTAGATCAGGTTTCAGAGTAACAGCCGTGTTAGTCTGTATTTGCAAAAAGAAAAGGAGTACTTGTGGCACCTTAGAGACTAACCAATTTATCTGAGCATAAGCTTTCGTGAGCTACAGCTCACTTCATCGGATGCATACTGTGGAAAGTGTAGAAGATCTTTTTATACACATAAAGCATGAAAAAATACCTCCTCCCACCCCACTCTCCTGCTGATAATAGCTTATCTAAAGTGATCACTCTCCTTACAATGTGTATGATAAACAAGTTGGCCATTTCCAGCACAAATCCAGGTTTTCTCACCCCTCCCTCCCACAAACCCACTCTCCTGCTGGTAATAGCTTATCTAAAGTGATCACTCTCCTTACAATGTGTATGATAATCACGGTGGGCCATTTCCAGCACAAATCCAGGATTTAACGAGAACGTCTGGGGGGGGGGGGTAGGAAAAAACAAGGGGAAATAGGTTACCTTGCATAATGACTTAGCCACTCCCAGTCTCTATTCAAGCCTAAGTTAATTGTATCCAATTTGCAAATGAATTCCAATTCAACAGTTTCTTGCTGGAGTCTGGATTTGAAGTTTTTTTGTTGTAATATAGCAACTTTCATGTCTGTAATCGCGTGGCCAGAGAGATTGAAGTGTTCTCTGACTGGTTTATGAATGTTATAATTCTTGACATCTGATTTGTGTCCATTTATTCTTTTACGTAGAGACTGTCCAGTTTGACCAATGTACGTGACAGAGGGGCATTGCTGGCACATGGTGGCATATATCACATTGGTGGATGTGCAGGTGAACGAGCCTCTGATAGTGTGGCTGACGTTATTAGGCCCTGTGATGGTGTCCCCTGAATAGATATGTGGACACAGTTGGCAACGGGCTTTGTTGCAAGGATAGGTTCCTGGGTTAGTGGTTCTGTTGTGTGGTATGTGGTTGCTGGTGAGTATTTGCTTCAGGTTGGGGGGCTGTCTGTAGGCAAGGACTGGCCTGTCTCCCAAGATTTGTGAGAGTGTTGGGTCATCCTTCAGGATAGGTTGTAGATCCTTAATAATGCGTTGGAGGGGTTTTAGTTGGGGCTAAAGGTGACGGCTAGTGGCGTTCTGTTATTTTCTTTGTTAGACCTGTCCTGTAGTAGGTGACTTCTGGGAACTCTTCTGGCTCTATCAGTCTGTTTCTTCACTTCCGCAGGTGGGTCTTGTAGTTGTAAGAATGCTTGATAGAGATCTTGTAGGTGTTTGTCTCTGTCTGAGGGGTTGGAGCAAATGTGGTTGTATCGCAGAGCTTGGCTGTAGACGATGGATCGTGTGGTGTGGTCAGGGTGAAAGCTGGAGGCATGTAGGTAGGAATAGCGGTCAGTAGGTTTCCGGTATAGGGTGGTGTTTATGTGACCATCATTTATTAGCACTGTAGTGTCCAGGAAGTGGATCTCTTGTGTGGACTGGACCAGGCTGAGGTTGATGGTGGGATGGAAATTGTTGAAATCATGGTGGAATTCCTCAAGGGCTTCTTTTCCATGGGTCCAGATGATGAAGATGTCATCAATATAGCGCAAGTAGAGTAGGGGCATTAGGAGACGAGAGCTGAGGAAGCGTTGTTCTAAGTCAGCCATAAAAATGTTGGCATACTGTGGGGCCATGCGGGTACCCACAGCAGTGCCGCTGATCTGAAGGTATACATTGTCCCCAAATGTAAAATAGTTATGGGTAAGGACAAAGTCACAAAGTTCAGCCACCAGGTTAGCCATGACATTATCGGGGATAGTGTTCTTGACGGCTTGTAGTCCATCTTTGTGTGGAATGTTGGTGTAGAGGGCTTCTACATCCATAGTGGCCAGGATGGTGTTATCAGGAAGATCACCGATGAATTGTAGTTTCCTCAGGAAGTCAGTGGTGTCTCGAAGGTAGCTGGGAGTGCTGGTAGCGTAGGGCCTGAGGAGGGAGTCTACATAGCCAGACAATCCTGCTGTCAGGGTGCCAATGCCTGAGATGATGGGGCACCCAGGATTTCCAGGTTTATGGATCTTGGGTAGTAGACAGAATATTCCAGGTCGAAGTTCCAGGGGTGTGTCTGTGCGGATTTGATCTTGTGCTTTTTCAGGGAGTTTCTTGAGCAAATGCTGTAGTTTCTTTTGGTAACTCTCAGTGGGATCAGAGGGTAATGGCTTGTAGAAAGTGGTGTTGGAGAGCTGCCGAGCAGCCTCTTGTTCATATTCCAACCTATTCATTATGACAACAGCACTTCCTTTGTCAGCCTTTTTGATTATGATGTCAGAGTTGTTTCTGAGGCTGTGGATGGCATTGTGTTCCGCACGGCTGAGGTTATGGGGCAAGTGATGTTGCTTTTCCACAATTTCAGCTCGTGCACGTCGGCGGAAGCACTCTATGTAGAAGTCCAGTCTGCTGTTTCGACCTTCAGGAGAAGTCCACCTAGAATCCTTCTTTTTGTAGTGTTGGTAGGGAGGTCTCTGTGGATTAGTATGTTGTTCAGAGGTATGTTGGAAATATTCCTTGAGTCGGAGACATCCAAAATAGGATTCTGGGTCATCACAGAACTGTATCATGTTTGTGGGGGTGGAGGGGCAGAAGGAGAGGCCCTGAGATAGGACAGCTGCTTCCGCTGGGCTGAGAGTATAGTTGGATAGGTTAACAATATTGCTGGGTGGGTTGAGGGAACCATTGCTGTGGCCCCTTGTGGCATGTAGTAGTTTAGAAAGTTTAGAAAGAAGGATTCTAGTTGGACTCCTCCTGAAGGTCGAAACAGCAGACTGGACTTCTACATAGAGTGCTTCCGCCGACGTGCATGGGCTGAAATTGTGGAGATCCACTTCCTGGACACTACAGTGCTAATAAATGATGGTCACATAAACACCACCCTATACCGGAAACCTACTGACCGCTATTCCTACCTACGTGCCTCCAGCTTTCACCCTGACCACACCACACGATCCATCGTCTACAGCCAAGCTCTGCGATACAACCACATTTGCTCCAACCCCTCAGACAGAGACAAACACCTACAAGATCTCTATCAAGCATTCTTACAACTACAAGACCCACCTGCGGAAGTGAAGAAACAGACTGATAGAGCCAGAAGAGTTCCCAGAAGTCACCTACTACAGGACAGGTCTAACAAAGAAAATAACAGAACGCCACTAGCCGTCACCTTTAGCCCCAACTAAAACCCCTCCAACGCATTATTAAGGATCTACAACCTATCCTGAAGGATGACCCAACACTCTCACAAATCTTGGGAGACAGGCCAGTCCTTGCCTACAGACAGCCCCCCAACCTGAAGCAAATACTCACCAGCAACCACATACCACACAACAGAACCACTAACCCAGGAACCTATCCTTGCAACAAAGCCCGTTGCCAACTGTGTCCACATATCTATTCAGGGGACACCATCACAGGGCCTAATAACGTCAGCCACACTATCAGAGGCTCGTTCACCTGCACATCCACC